CAGGTTATTTGAGGGCCAGACACCCTTCCCTGAGTATAAAAAAGTGCTTGTAAACCAGATGCCTGCTGAGCAAGGGCAGGAGATCTGAGTGATTAAGGGGCACTTAATCAAGATACCAGCCTTGATGCAGTATCATCAGAATAGATGCAGGCCCAGTGCTTGTAGGTCTCTTTTTGAAGAAAAAGTAGTAATTCCAGGTTTAAGGAAAACCACACACATTTTAAATAATGGCAAATAGGAATTTTTAAAATGCACTCAGGCAGATAAAGGCTACCCAGCCTTAAAGCAGTATCATCAGGATAGATGCAGGCCCTGTGCTTGTAGGTCTCTTTTTGAATAAAAAGTAGTAATTCCAGGTTTAAGGAAAACCACAGACATTTTAAATAATGGCAACAAATAGGAATTTTTAAAATGCACTCAGGCAGATAAAGCACTCCAGCTGGTTGGTAGTCTATGGACTGTCCATTTGTACCTTCTGGTCTAAAGTACCTTTGTGTTTCCTTTGGATTGTTTATTTCAGATCTTATAAGGACACTGCCAAGAGTCAGAGCAGATATGTATGATGACATTCACAGTGACAGCAGATATACTCTGGGCGGATCTGTGGCTCACTCTCGAGATGCTGGGAGAGAAGGCCTGAGAGGTGATGTATTTCCAGGACCTTCCTTCAGGTCAAACAACCCTTCCGTAAATGAAGACAACTACTTTCGCAAAGAATGTGGCCGGGATCTGGAATTTCCCCACCCTGATTCCCGAGATCAGGTCTTTGGCCACCGGAAATTGGGCCATTTCCGTTCTCCAGACTGGAAATTTACACTCCGTGGCTCTTGGGAACAAGACCTTGGCCACCCAGTTTCTCAAGAATCGTCTTGGTCACAGGAGTATAATTTTGGTCCTTCTGCACTACTGGGAGACTTCGGGTCCTCCAGGCTGATAGAAAAAGAGTGTTTGGAGAAAGAGAGTCGGGATTATGACGTGGACCGTCCAGGGGAGGCAGACTCTGTGCTCAGGGCCAGTGGCCAAGTCCAGGGCAGAGGCCGAGGTCTAAACATCGTTGATCAGGAGGGTGCCCTCCTAGGAAAGGGGGAGTCTCAGGGCCTGCTTGCACCTAAAGGGGGGGTTGGGAAACTTGTCACACTGAGGAACGTGAGCACAAAAAAAGTACCCACTATAAACCGTATTACTCCCAAAACTCAGGGCACTAACCAAATCCAGAAAACCACCCCAAGTTCTGATGTGACCCTAGGTGCAAACCCAGGGACAGAAGATATCCAGTTCCCCCCTCAGAAGATCCCTCTGGGGCTCAATCTAAAGGACATTCGTCTCCCGAGAAGAAAGATGAGTTTTGACCTCATAGATAAGTCTGATGTTTTTTCAAGATTTGGGATAGAAATAATCAAATGGGCAGGATTTCACACCATAAAAGATGATGTTAAATTTTCCCAGCTTTTCCAGACTCTCTTTGAACTTGAAACTGAAACCTGTGCTAAAATGCTTGCCTCATTTAAATGCTCCTTAAAACCAGAGCACAGAGATTTTTGCTTTTTTACTATCAAATTTTTAAAGCACTCTGCTTTGAAAACACCCAGAGTTGATAATGAGTTTTTAAACATGCTTTTAGACAAAGGTGCTGTGAAGACCAAAAATTGCTTTTTCGAAATCATAAAGCCCTTTGACAAGTACATAATGAGGCTTCAAGACCGGCTTCTAAAGAGTGTCACGCCCCTGCTCATGGCCTGCAATGCCTACGAGCTGAGTGTCAAAATGAAGACCCTTAGTAACCCCCTGGACTTGGCCGTTGCCCTAGAGACCACCAATTCTCTCTGCCGGAAGTCTTTAGCCCTTTTGGGACAGACGTTCTCCTTGGCCTCTTCTTTCCGGCAAGAGAAAATCTTAGAAGCTGTCGGCCTCCAAGATATAGCTCCCTCTCCTGCCGCATTTCCCAACTTTGAAGACTCCACTCTATTTGGGAGAGAGTACATAGATCATCTGAAGGCCTGGCTGGTCAGCAGTGGGTGTCCACTCCAGGTCAAGAAAGCCGAACCTACGCCAACTCAAGATGAGAAAATGGTTCCTCCTACCAAACCTGAAATTCAGGCCAGAGCTCTGAGTGGTTTAAGTGATGGTAAGGAAAGCAGCAAATGTTTCTATTTGTTGTGATTTGTTTCTTTTTCATGGGTGTTGTTGTTGTTTTTGTGTGTGTGTTTTTTGTATGGGTTTTGTTGGGGGGTTTTGGTTTTTTTGTAATCCTCACCCGAGGATATTTTTTCCATTCATTTTTAGAGAGCGGAAGAGGGGGAGAGAGGGAGAGACACATCAATTGATTACCTTCTGCACACACCACTGGGGATGAACTTGCCACGCATGCTTTTTCATGGGTGGTGTTGTTGTTTTTGTGTGTGTGTTTTTTGTATGGGTTTTGTTGGGGGGTTTTGGTTTTTTTGTAATCCTCACCCGAGGATATTTTTTCCATTCATTTTTAGAGAGCGGAAGAGGGGGAGAGAGGGAGAGACACATCAATTGATTACCTTCTGCACACACCACTGGGGATGAACTTGCCACGCATGTGCCCTTGACTGGAAATCAAACCTGCAACCCTTTGGTGCTCAGGCCAGTGCTCCAACCACTGAGCCACACCAGGCATGGCTCATGGTGGGGTGTTTTTAGTTTTTTGGTTTTTTTTTGGTAATACCTCTTATACTCTTTGAGATTTACAAGAAGTTCTTTAGCCAACTGAAAACAAATCAGAATTTTAGCAGAAAACTTGCATTGGCTAGGATACATGTCTGTCTGCATTCATTCCATGAGCATGTATGAGGAATCTTCAACTTACACAAGAGTCTTTAGACCAGCCATGGGCAAACTACGGCCCACGGGCCGGATGCGGCCCGTTTGAAATGACTAAAACTAAAAAAAAAAAAAAAAACCCACCCCTTTTTTGAAATAATTTTTATATTTATATTAGTTCACACAAACACTCCATCCATGCTTTTGTTCCGGCCCTCCGGTCCAGTTTAAGAACCCATTGTGGCCCTCGAGTCAAAAAGTTTGCCCACCCCTGCTCTAGACACTCCTTTGGGAATCTGATGAAAAGCCACAGCCCTTACCATGAAAAATGCACATACAGCCCTTGCCAGTGTGCTCAGTGGTTACAGTGTCAGCCTGTGCAACTAAGGGTCACAGGTTCGATTCCTGGTCAAGGACAGGTATCTGGGTTTTTTTGGGTTTGCTCCCCACTCCTAGTCGGCAAGTGCTGAAGGCAACCAGTTAATGTATCTCTCACATCAATATTTCTCTCCCCCCAAGACACATTTCCTCCTTTTCACGCTCTCTGAAAAGCAATGGAGCCCTAGCCAGTTTGGTTCAGTGGATAGAGCATAGGCCTGCTGACCAAAGGGTCCTGGGTTCAGTTCCAGTCAAGGGCACATACTTGGGTTGTAGGCTCCTCCCCAGCCCGTGCCCTGGTCAGGGCTCTTGCAGGAGGCAACTAATTGATGTGTTTCTCTCACATTGATGTTTCTTTCTGTCTTTCCCTCTCTCTTCCACTCTCCCTTTAAAAAAAAAATTAATGGAAAATTATCCTCTGGTGAGGATTAACAAAAAGAAAAAGAAAAGAAACAAAAGAAAAGCAATGGAAAAAATATCCTCAGACCAGCCAGCGTGGCTCAGTGGTTGAATGTCGACCTATGAAGCAGGAGGTCACGGTTCAATTCCCAGTCATGGCACGTGCCTGGGTTTCGGGAACAATCCCCAGGAGAGAGTTTGCAGGAGGCAGCCGATCAATGATTTTCTTTCATCATTGATGTTTCTATCTCTCCCTCTCCCTTCCTCTCTGAAATCAATAAAAATATTTTTTAGAATATATCCTCAGGTGAAGTTTAACAAAAAGCACCACCAACATAATTTTTAACAATTTTGCCTGCGTGTTCTGGAGGTTTCTACTATCCTGCAGCCAAGGTTAAGAAGCTCAGTTCAAACAACGCCCCGCCCTCAGGTATTCCTAGAAGGAGAAGGAAATGCTAGGCGCTGTCTCTGAGAAGACCCCAGACTCCTGAGGGACAGAAATCACCAAAATCAGCCCCTCCAATGCTGGGATTAAAGGGGATGTAGGAGAGGTCCCAGCCTGGGGAGTTAGGGAAGCCAAAGGGAGGCTGTATTTGAGCTGCATTGAGGGATTGGACAACCTGGCTGATCCAGGTGACAGTCACCCACTCACTTTTCTAGACTGGCTAAGGTTGACAGATCGCTTAGGTACACCTGATGATCTGCAGTTAACAGCTAGTTTACAGGGGAGGGGGCAGGCCAATAAGGAGGTAATAGACATGACTCGCTGTTTGGTGTTCCTTGTCCCTACTCCTTAGCTCTCAGGATGACTGCTCTAAGCCTAAACCTCCGAGGGCTCATGCCCATAGGTAGTGGTCATGTCCTCTTTCCTCCTGACTTGGTTTTCCACTTCCATTGCCCCAACCCATTTGTTCCTGAATCTCTTCATTCCTCTACAGACTTGTGGAGCACCTACGGCACTAGCACTGGTAGGTCCCACCACAGGTGCTTGGCTACACCTACTCCCAGAAGCAGGCTCAGGGCCGAAGCAGGCCCCCTTCCTCTGTACAGCCCCCAAGTGATGGAACAGAAAGTCAGTGTAACAATAATACTGGAGGAAAAAGTCACCCGTAACCTAAAGTCGCTCACCACTGTTCCCTCGTGGTGCTGGTAGGCAGGTGGGTCTGCCGGTATAGTCCTGCTGTATTGAAAATACTACCACCAATTCTTTGACAAGATTGTCAAAAGCCCTTCCTGTGTTCTTACAGCTCTCACTGCATCGTGATATTAACATAAATTATCTCACCTTTCCCTTGATGTTGGACTCATGTTGCCTTTTACTACAGGCTTCTGAGGCTTAGCAGAGCTCGGTCCCCTTGTAATTGGCATCTGTAAGCCTTGGCTATCTGGACAGCTGGTGGACACACCAGCACTGCCCCACCGCTGTTTTCATTACAGTATGTTAGAAACACTGGGATGACATCTTTGGTTAATTGTTGATTATTACTATTTTTAATTTTTATTTTTAAATCCTCCTTTAAAAGGATGTAGTCTCAGGAGAAGGATTGCTGGGACCCACTTTCTGGCCCTTGCTATGGTCATTTTCTCTAGAGATGGTTGCAGTGACCAACTTATTGGCATTTGTTTCTGAAAGCTGCTGATTTAGAACTCTTAATTTTCTGTAAAATCCTGTACAATTAGCAGTTCTATAAAATGAGAGCCAATAACAAAAAGAAAGGAAAACAATTTCAAAAGGGAAATTCTTGCAAAAACATAGCAGTTGCAAGATTGATTTATTCTGTGTAGGAGCTCCCACCGATGTTTAAAATAAACTCAAAGTTATAACTCAGACATAGGCAAGAACAGGACAATGCAGTCACTCCACAAAACAAACGAAAACCTCCAGTTCAGGGGTGGCTTTTATTGAATGAGTGAACAAGTAGTCCATTCTGTCCTATTAAAACTAGCAAACATCAGAAAACTACACAATCTTATTATTTGAGGACACATGTTCTCCTGTGTTATTGGTGACATCGTAAATTATAGTCATATTGGAAGAAATTCACACTTTTTTTTTTAAATATATTTTATTGATTTTTTACAGAGAGGAAGGGAGAGAGATAGAGAGTTAGAAACATCGATCAGCTGCCTCCTGCACATCTCCTACTAGGGATGTGCCCGCAACCCAGGTACATGCCCTTGACCAGAATCGAACCCGGGACCTTTTAGTCCGCAGGCCGACGCTCTATCCACTGAGCCAAACCGGTTTCGGCGAAATTCACACTTTAAAGATGTTTTCATACATCAGCAAATATTTCTGTGAACACCTACTTTGGGGCCATTGACTTTTTTAATTGGGAAATTTTTTTTTGTAAATTTATATATGTATGTTTTCTGGTTACAGAACACATGTATGTTTATATTTTGTAGATAAAGCACAAAGAAAATGAAATCCTGATAAATCTACCACCCATAGATAACATCTGTTAACTTCCTGGTATATTTTCTTTTTCTATGTCTCCATATTTATGTGTCTTTTCTTCCCTTCTTACTATTGGGAATCATAATTTAAACAAATGTTTTATATATTTTATACCAAAATACATTTTATCTCTTTACATTTTCCCTTAATATTGTGAACATCCAAGTTAAATGATACAGGAGAGTGGTATGGAGTGCTGCATACCATTTCCTTCTGTAGAACATATACATGCGTTACTCTGTAGTGTTGTTATAAGCCTGTAACTGTTTCTGCCCTGGTGGTTACGCTGTTACAGCTTTTGGGAGGATATTGTATATATTGGTTTCTAGAATAACACTCTGCTTTCCTCTTTTCAAAGCTGGTCTCTCATGAGTGAGAATTTCAGTTGCTAGTGCCTGCTTAGGCTCCATCCTAAGCCCCTGACTCTGTCCTGGTGTTCCCAGTCACCATGTGGTCCAGTGTTTCTCAGAAAAGCCCTTTTGTGTGTTCTAGCTGTCCCCCAGCGAGCAGATCACAAGGTGGTGGACATCATCAACCAGCTGGTCACACGTGTCGTTGGAGGCAGCCTGTCTCCTAAAGAGAGAGCTCTTCTCAAGGAGGACCCTGCTTACTGGTAGGTCTTTATATATCAGCCCTCTGAATCCCTGCTGTAGAGCACACAGCAACATTTATGTCGCTCTGATGGTGTCCAGAGCAAAGGGTAAGGTGTTTATTTTGAGCAGTGGTATTGACCACTGGGAAGAACATTAGGGTGAGTCAGGTTCACCAGGGTTCAAGCACCAGCCCTGCTGCAGACCTGCCCTGTGGCCCTCTCTCACTCAGTCTTGGAAGTCTGCATTCCTGCTGTGCTGGCTTAAGTATGAGCTGCGATATACGTGCAAAGAATGTGTGTAAGATGAGGGATGTGTCACAGCAGCTATTGGTGATTTATTGCTACTATTTGTTAAACTGTCTTCCTTTTGCCTTTATTGCCTCTTCACATGAATAGAACTTTTTAAAATTAAAATGTTCATCATAAATACAGTACTTTCTTATTAGAGTAAATGATATAGTTAAAAGGTCATTGAGCGCCCACCATTTCAAGAGTGTCACCTTCCGAAAATGGAGTCCAGGAGCAATGCCTGTCGTGTGCTGGCAGCAAAATGCTTCCATGGCTCCAGGGTAACTGGTTTGTGTAGCTAAGCCTCCAGGAGCTATGAGATCCTTCATGGCTTCTGATGACAGAAGTGGAGGAGGATTCTACCACAGCTCAAAGCTCCTGGTTGCCCTGCAGTCACTGGGCAAAATGGGTGACCTGGGACCAGCTCTGGATCCTTGGTGGAGCCAACTGGAACCTTCGACAGTAGAGAAGCCATCATGTAGAAAAGAGTTGCAGAAGTGTATTTGCAGCAATGATGTGAGCATGCTGGTGTTTTAGCAATGTCCTGCTGTGCCTGTTTCGTTATACAGGTTTTTGTCTGATGACAGTAGTCTGGAGTATAACTATTACAAGCTGAAACTGGCAGAAGCACAGCGGATAAGCCAGACCTCGCCAGGAGCGGGTCAGAAGCCAATGGCTGCAGAGTGTGCAGTCCGGGCCATGCTGTACGCCCGGGCAGTCCAGAGCCTCAAGAAGAGGCTCCTCCCAGGGCGACGGCGGGGGCTGCTCCGAGCTCCAGGACTCCAGGGTTGGAAGGTGAGGAGAGCAACCACCGGGACCCAGACCCTCCTCTCCTCAGGCACCAGGCTGAAACACCACATCCGGCAAGCTCCAGGCTCCTTGCAGGGAAAGCCGCCCCAGCCAGATGGAAATGATGCTGCCAAGGACTGCCCACCAGACTCAGCCGGGCCCTCTCCTCAGGACCCGAGCTCAGAAGCTGCAGGCCCATCCCCCAAGCCAGCAGGAGTGGACGTATCCGAAGCCCCTCAGAGCTCCTCACCCTGCTTGTCTGCTGACGGTGGGTGCTCACTCGTGTCTCCCTCTGAGCCCCAGTCCTGAATAGCCAGTCTCTAGGGGTCTCTGCAGAGTTGGGATGGCCTCAGTGGTCTGGGCAGTAGGCAGTGGGCAGTAGCAATGGTGACCTGGCGAGGGTGGGTGTATGAGATGGTGCTTTCCCTCCTTTTGCTTCCTCAAGAGGGCAGCCTGAGAGCTCTGTTGCACTCTTTCCTGTCCTGAGGGTTACTGCCCAGTGACTGCTTCCCTACTGCTGACCATCAGGTTATGCTGTGTGCCTGTGCCTGGGGCTTTGAACTCCTTGATCCATTTCTCTCTGTTCTTGCCCGTTTACGTTCCATAGGGCTGCGCTGTTCTTATTCTGCCTCTTCTCCCTGGGACTCTATGTTCCCTCCTCAGCATTAGCTGACCTGCAGTTTCTTCTGAAGTTACCAACGTACCCCTTCTGTGTCTTCTAGCTGTTACTTTCTGCTTCTGCAACAGGCCTGCCCCTGACCAATACTTCTCACTCAGCACTAGATGGGAACGTGGGGGGGTTGGAGCGGGGGGGAATCTACCCAAGTGCTGCTACAGAACAAGCAGCTCCAAACTGTGGCTTCACACAGGAGCTACCATAAGCCTAACCGGGCCTTCACATGTGTTTGTAGGCAGCGGCTGGTTGTCTGATGCTGGTGAGGTGATCTGGGTGACTGGGATGTGCCTGTCATCCCCCAGCGGCCTGCTGGGGTTGGTTCACCTGAGGTTGGTGTCAGGCCTCTGGGAGAGGCAGTGGAGGTGCTCGAGGCACCTGAGCCCCAGGACTTCTGCCATACCTGTTGGCTAGCAGGAGTCTTGGGACCAGTCCCAGTTCAAGGGAGAGGAGAGTCCCCCTCTGCTGGACAGAGCTGCAGAGTCACAGGGCAACAGGCAAACATGCAGGAGGGGACATGAGGGACTGTCTTTGTAATTAGTCTCCACAGCCCCATGATGTCTACACGGGAAGTGGCAGCTCTTACGTGTGACAGTTACTTTGTTTTATAGTTGACTTGAAGACTATGGAGACTGCAGAGAAACTGGCCAAATTTGTTGCTCAGGTGGGACCAGAGATTGAACAATTCAGCATAGAAAACAGCACCGACAACCCTGACCTATGGTATGTACCCACCACACCCTTCTGGTTTGAGTGTATTCACCCCACAAATCTCCTGAGAGCCCAAAAGGTAGCCTGACAAACGCCTCAGGGGTCACACGGGGTAAATTATGACTTCTGCTGAGCTCAGGGCTGGGAGGGAGGAGCATCTGTTCTGGGATATTGAGGGATGGGGAAAAGCTCCCCACAGGGACATTTAAGCTGGATTCGAAGGCCAAATAGGAGCTTTCCAGGGCAAGAGAGAGAGCTCCCTGGGCAGAGGGGCAGTGTCCCCAGGACCTGAGCAGAGTCAGAACAATGGTGGAATGAGGGAGGGTACATCCTCACCCAAGGGCCTGAGGAGGAGGAGGGCACTGCTCCCTGGTCATACTGGCTGCTGTGGGCTGATGAGAATTTGCTGCTCGTGGAGTGATAGTGGTCCCTGGTCTAAGTGTGGGCAACAACCACTTCCATGCAGTGACAGCCTGGCACCCTCGGGCTTGGAGGTGCGCCATTATCCTCCCCTTTTCTCAGACTCAGCGCACACAATCAGGGAGTAGCTCTGCCTCTGGGATACAGATTCTCTCCTTCAGGGTTCCTATTACTGAACCATAACCCTTTGGGCTCCCCTCAGAGCTAGTGGGGAGTATATAGGGAGCAGGTAGGTTTCCTGCTGTGTACATTGTATCCTACAGTCTGCCGGGCTCTGCCCTGCTCCAATGTGCTGCAGAGTTGTGCCTTAGTCTAATAAAGAATGCATTTTAAAACTTCACATTAACTAGTGCATTTCTTGGACCCAGAGGTGACTGAGCATACTCTTCCAGCTTGTTTTGGACCTTGACTGGGCACTGCACTGAGGGTACCTTCTGCTTCTTGGGAGACCCAGACCAGTTGCCTGGAGCACTGATGGCTTTGCAAATGCTCTGCCTGGATCTGCCTTTTACAGGCATGATGACCTCAGGAACTGTCACCTGCAGGCTTCAGAGTGGGGCTGCCTGTGGCATGTAGGATCTTGCCCTGGCAAGGCCAGTGAGGGGGACAGCTCAGTACAGGGAAGCTGGGAGTGTTCCATCAGCCCTTGTTTTGTTTTGTTTTGTTTTGTTAATTCTCGTGTGAGGATATTTTTTTCATTGTTTTTTAGAGAGAGTGGGAAGGAAGGAGGTGGGGAGAGAGAGAGGAACATCAATTAGAGAGAGACATCGATTGGTTGCCTTCCATACACACCCCAACCAGGGCCAGGGATTGAACCTGCAACCCAGGTATGTGCCCTTGACCAGGATTCGAACTCATGACCCTTCAGTGCACAGGCCAACACTCTAACCACTGAGTCACAGCAGCCAGGGCTTTCATCAGTCCTTTCCCCGCCCCCCCACCCCCCATTAAAATAAAAGTTTGCAAGAAAACTGCATCATCCTGGGCACTTGGTACCAACTGGTCTTGGGGTTATTCCTCACCCTCTATGCAGCCTTTTTTGAGCAATGTGTCTCGGAACATGCTGTCCTCTCCTTACCCACACAGAGTCCTGGATCCTACAGCAACATCTGGTGGGGTAATGCGTTCTGTCCCCCAATGCTCATAAAATAGTTTGAAACTTACTACACTGGGCAAGGCCAAAGTGCCTTTGTGTTTTTTTTTCCTTGAAAGATTTATATCTCTGATGTGCTCAGTAGTTTGCTCGAGTGGATTCATTTTGTATGTGTGACTGTGTCATCAATTTGACAGTCAGATTCACTTGTTTCTGTGGATATTCAGTTTTAGAGCCTTTTTTTTCCTTTTTTTTAATTTAAATTTTTTAAAATATATTCTATTGACTTAAGAGAGGATGGAAGAGGGAGAGAGATAGAAACATCAATGATGAGAGAGAATCATTGATCGGCTGCCTCTTGCATGCCTCCCACTGGGGATCAAGCCTACAACCTGGGCATGTGCCCTGACCAGGAATCAAACTGTGACCTCCTGATTCATAGGTCGACATTTGACCACTTAGCCACACCAGCCAAGCTAAATTATTTTTTTTTAATTCTTACTGGAGAATATGCTTTTTATTGATTTTTTTAAAGAGAGTGAGAGAGAAAAACATTGATTAATTGCCTCCTGTATGCATCCTGACCAGTGTTCGAACCCACAACCTAGGTATGTGCCATGACCTGGAATCAAACCCACAACCTTTTAGTGTACAGGATGACATTCCAACAAACTGAACCATCAGCCAGGGCAGTTGTTGTTTTTTTTAACTTTTAAAGTAAGTACAGCATTTGCACTGTTGTAAAGTCTATATATATAAAAGGCTAATAGCAAAGTGTCCCCTCGGGAGTTTGACCAGGAGACCGGGAGTTTGATCGATCACTATGACGTGTGATGACCACCAGGGGGCAGTGCAGAACGAAGGAAGGCCCCAGCAGCTGGGGCATGAAGGCCCCGGCTAGTAGCCAGAATAGCCGGCCAAGCCTAGGGACCCTACCCATGCATGAATTTCGTGCACTGGGCCTCTAGTAGAAATTATAATAGGTAAGCTGAGAGAAGTGGGACCGCTGTATGTTACTCACCTATTCACCTGTTTGACAGTATTTGAGGTGTTTTCATTTTGGGATTATTACAGATAAAGCTGCTGTGAGCATTCATGTATAAGGACCTCTGTGGACACCTGCTTTTATTTCTCAGATAAATACCGAGGAGGGGAAAGGCTGGCTCCCATGGTGGGTCCACATTTAACTTTTGAGAAAACTTCCAAACTTCCTTTCCAAGTGACTCCATCATTTTGCCTTTTCAACAGCTTGGGTGAGAGTTCCAGTTCCTCCCTGTCCTCACTAGCACTTGCTAGTGTCCGTCTTTTTAATGTCCCAGTTACGGGAGGGGGAGGGAGTATCCCACTGATTCTTATTTCTGAGGACAGATGATGCTGAGCATCTTCTAGTGCTCGTGTACTTCCCATATCTCTTTAAGTGTCTCTTCAGGTCTTTGGCCCATTTTTTTTTTATTGGGTTGTTTATTTTCTTAATAATGAATTTTGAGAGTTCATTATGTTGTGTTTTTTTTAAATTGATTTCAGAGAGGGAAGGAGAGAGATGGAAACATCAATGATGAGAGAGAATCATTGATCAGCTGCCTCTTGCACACCTCCCACTGGGAATTGAGCCCGCAACCCAGGCATGTGCCCTGACCAGGAATCAAACCGTGACCTCCTGGTTCATAGGTTGATGCTCAACCACTGAGCCACACCAGCCAGGCTCCAGCAATGTCTTTTGGAGGGTAGAAGTTCTTAATCTTTGCCCTTTCCTCTGTTGGATTTTTTGGGCTTCTTCTTTCTTGGTTTTTTAAGAGCTCTTATCTGTGATGTAATTGTATATATTTCTTTCTTGTTTTGATGTTTATCTTTCACTCTGCCTATGGGTAGTTCTTCAGAAGTGTATTCAGATTCCTCAATTTTTTTTTCCTTTTATTACCCCTAGTTCTGAGTCATAGAAAGAACCTCCCCACACTCAGGTTATAGGCAGGCATGTACTTTCTGACCTAACTTGTACGGCTTGGTTCCTACATTTATATCCCGGTCTGTGTGGGGTTATTTGGGAGCAGGGGTTGCAGCATGGATCCAATTTAAATGTTTTTCTTAAAAGCTTCCCAGTTGTCCCAACACCACTTGTTGAAACACTCTTTTTTGGAGAGGTTTGAGAGGCCCCTTCATCAGATGTTGTGTTTCTAGCTCTTCTTTTGGTCTGTTTGTCGATCTATTCATGGACCAGTACCTGCTTTTTTTGTTTTAATTACAGTTGACATTCAATATTATTTTATTAGTTTCAGGTATACAGCATAGTGGTTAGACATTTATATAATTTCACAAAATGATCCCCCAATAATTCTGGCACCCACCTAGCACCATTCATATTTATTACAATATTATTGATGAGATGTGCTATGCTGTACTTTACGTTCCTGTGACTAATTTGCAGCTACCAATCTGTACCTCTAATCACAGTACCATGCTGTTTTAACTGTGGAGGCATCACACACCTTGTAATATCTGGTGGATCTAGTTCAGAGTTCTTCCAGAAGTCTTTGCATATTTATTTTTCTGTGTGGACTTTAGAATCATCTTGTCCAGATCCAGAAACAAATGATGCTTTTATTGAGATACTTTTCAACATTAATATGTTAACTAGGGAAGAATTGACATCTTCATGAGGTCGAGTTGTCCTGTCCAAGAACAAGGGCTGTCTTTCCTTTGGTCCAAGTGTGTTTTGTATCTTCATGCATGTTTTGGTTTTTCACACCAGCCAACCCCCTCCCCCAGCTGTGACTACAGGTCTAGGTGGTCCTCGAACTCGAAGGCTCAGAGAGGCTTTATCGCCACCACGTTTAAACAGTTTCTCTGCTGAACACAAGACAGGCGGTTCTGTGGGTGACACGCTTCCTCCATCTTGTACCCGGAAATGTGAGAGGGACCCTAGAGTCACAGAGAGCACTCAAAGGTCCAGAGGGCTAGTGGCGTCACTGGAACGGGATGAGTGAGGCCAGGTTGGATATCCAGGCTGGGAGTCAGAGCTCGCTCCAGCACATTCCCTGGTCATCGCTGCATGCCTTGTTCCTCCACCGCCCTCCCCTGAAAAGCAATTAGGCCTCGCATTCTGGCTCCTCAAACTTTCTATCTCACTGCAAAGCTGCACCATCAGCCATAGCGGGTAGAAAGAGGTCAGGTATTCACTCCCTGGTCCCACCCCCAGCTTCATCAGGTCCATTCAGACAGTTTCAGCAAATAAGAATGTTCAGAGAACTGTCTGGTTAACCAACGTGTATCATCTTTTTCCCAGGTTTCTACAAGACCAAAATAGCTCAGCTTTCAAATTCTATCGAAAGAAGGTATTTGAACTGTGTCCATCGATTTGTTTTACATCACCTTCGCTGAACCTCCATGCCAGTGAGAGCGCCCTAGAGTCTGTGGAAGGGGAAGGAGAGCTTGCGAATGAGCCTCCTCACCAGGAGGTTGAGCTGGAGAGCCTAGAGGTGATGCCTGAGGAGGAGGAGGAGGAGGAGGAGGAAGAGGAAGAGGAAGAGGAGGAAGAGGAGGAGGAGGAGGAGGAGGCCCTCGCTCCTGGAGGACCTTCTAGGGCTCCAGGAGGGGCTGCCACTTCTGAGGGCTCTGAGGGCAGCCCCCCCACTGATGGCCTTCCAAGCGAGGCAGCCGAGGATGGCCCTGCTGGCACGTCTGCCCTATCACAGGCCTGCTTTCCCCGGAAGAGGGTCAGCAGCAAGTCATTGAAGGTTGGCATGATTCCGGCTCCCAAGAGGCTGTGTCTCATCCAAGAGCCCAAAGGTGAGTGCCAGCATCGGCGCAGAGCCCTGCATAGTCTTCTGCTTAGCACTTGAGAGGAGTTAGTGGTACTTGGTTGTGGAACAGGTAGAGACATTGCCTGCCTGTTAACCAGCTGACCCCTCTTACCTTTCCACCTCTGATTCCACCCGCGTACCTGGACATTACCTCCCAAATCCTCCTCAACATAGGGTTCTTTGGTTTTGTGTTTTTTACCCTAAAACAGTCCTAGTAGTTTTGTATACTACTGCCAATGTTTGTGTGAAACTCACTTTTCCAGTTGGTCTAATGATAGCACTCTAAAGAGACTCTGCCGAGTAGTCTTTGGCTTCTAGCATCCCACATATTGCTCAGGGTCTCCCTTATTGCTCAGATTCCAGCAGGTTAGCCCTAGCTATGGGAGAACTGGCCTGGGTCATCTCAGCCGTTTCTTGCCCATGGCCTTGGGGGAAGGAGGGGTACCCAGCCTTCTAAGCCAAGGAAGGCCTGGGGTAGTGACACTTGCTTTGTGACCGTGAGGTGGGAGGACATGGGACGGGGCTGGTCTCATGCATCCATTAGCAGGAGCCATGTGCTCTGTGGAGGTCATCTCCTGCTCTCCTGTGTTAAGTTTCTTGAGGTACAATTTGCCAGCAATAAAATGCATCTCTTTTAAGTGGACAGTTTGAGGAGTTTTGGTAAATGTGTATAGGCATGAACCCACCAGTATAGTTGAGCTGGATCCTGTCCCCAGAAAGTGTCTACAGTCCCCTCTCCTACCCAGCCCCCAGCAACCACTGACTGTTTTCTGGCCTTGCCTTGTCTAGGCTCAGTAAGTGGAATTTTATTATTTGTGGCCTTTTGATGTGCTGGTCATAGCCCAGGCTGCTCCTCATGGCCCTACCCATCCAAGTGTCCACACAGCCAAGCCTGGGCTGTGCTTCAAGTGTGGGACTCATGCTGCGATGCTTGCGTGTAAGGTGGCGGTGGTGGTAAACAGTGCCCCGTCATTTGTCACCTGTGTTGTTCTGTGTTATTGAGACATTTACCCCCAGCAGTGTTAATATAGTTTCCCACTAACAGAACAGTCCCATGGTTTGTGTTTGTTAATTCTGGCATTGCAATGGGTTGCTAGCTGTTCTGCTGAACTCTTACTGAGGTGGTGGTAGCATATCCGAATGCTTAAGTATGTCCTTCCTGGGGGAAAGTGGAGTCCTTTCTATTTCAGAATCTCTCAGTTCTTGAATTGAGTGGTTGATGAGACAAAACAAGGCCTGCTGATCTCCCCTTTGTCACCAAATAATAATAACAATAATAATGTGATTTGGAGCTTTGTATAAGAAGCACAGTTGTTTTTGCTAGAAAGTTCTGTGTGGACTTTAATTCTTTTCAGTAGGATAATCACAATGATGCTGGAGGGCATACATAGCATTGCACATAGTTCATTTGTGAAGCAAAGCGTAGTCCTGTAGTCATGGAACATGATCCACATGTTTGGTCCTTCATCATAAACATGCGCATCTTATTTTTAAGGAGGTTCTCCCACAGCAAGGAGCCCTCAGTTGAGCCCCTGTGTTCAGCCTCTGTGCTCCATAGTTACACAGTTCCTGAGAGGAGCCAAGCCAAGCAACTGGCCTTGTGCATGTTGTAGCCACCTTCTGTCAGCTGAAAAGCTATTAGCCAAAATTGTAGAACCCTCATTTTCTCTCAGAAATATGGGGAAAGCACATATCCTATATAATAAAAGCCTAATATGCAAAGTGTCCAACCGTTCAACCAGTTGTTATGACATGCACTGACCACCAGGGGACAGACACTCCGACTGGTAGGTTAGCTTGCTGCTGGGGTCCGGCCTATCGGGACTGGGCGAGATGGGCCGCACACATCCTAGAGCCCTTCCACGATCCCTCCCCGGCCCCAATCGTGCACTGGTGGGGTCCCTTGGCCTGGCCTGCAGGGATCAGGCCAAAACTAGCTCTCCAACATCCCCAGAGGGGTCCTGGGTTGCAAGAGGGCGGTTTTGAGGTGATGCACCCCGGAATCAGGCTCCCTTCTCTCTGGTTCCGGGTGTCACCCAAGAACCGCCACTGCCAAGTGACCACAGCTCGGCAGCTCCTGCGTTGAGCGTCTGCCCCCTGGTGGTCAGTGCACATCATAGCTATGGCCAGTTGCTTAGGCTTTTATAGATATAGATATAGATAGATAGATTGATAAGATAGATAGATAGATAGATAGATTTCTTTTGTCTTCCAGTTCACGAACCGGTTCGTATCGCCTATGACAGGCCTCGGGGTCGTCCTGTGTCCAAAAAGAAGGTGAGTGTGACTATTTGTGAGTCCTCGTGTGAATTTGTCATAGTCTCAAAGGACACTGTGGCTTGTGATTAAGCTGTACTTATGCTTCAGACTGGGTGTAAATGTACAAAGCACAACAAATGCCTTTTCAGCAGCTTTTTAAAACAATCTGTTTAGCTTTGGCCAAAGCACAGAAGGGTAGTCCATTTAACAGGTAGTTGAGGCTTGATATGTGCAATGGAATGGAGAGATGAACAAGTAATGTCTCGGTCCTCAAGAGGTTCAGATTTAGTGGACTGTAATGTGTTTTTTGGTATTTTATTTATTTTTTTTTAAATATATTTTATTGATTTTTTTTACAGAGAGGAAGGGAGAGGGATAGAGAGTTAGAAACATCGATGAGAGAGAAACATTGATCAGCTGCCTCCTGCACACTCCCTACTGGGGATGTGCCCGCAACCAAGATACATGTCCTTGACCAGAATCAAACCTGGGACCCTTGAGTCCACAGGCTGACGTGCTATCCACAAGGCCAAACCGGTTAGGGCTGGTATTTTATTTTTATTAATCCTCACCCGACATGCTTTAACTAGAAGAAGAGGGAAAGAGAGAGAGAGAAACATCAATGTGAGAGGAAACATTGATCAGTTGCCTTCCGTACATGCCCCGACCAGGGATTGAACCTGCAACTCAGGTATGTGCCCTGACCATCCATTCACCCCAGCTGTTCTTTTCTGGGCCTGGGAGAGCATGACAGGCACCCCTTGTCATGTCAGTGGCAGGTTCCATCTCCTCTGTTCTTAGGTCATTTCCTGATGGTAGCTGGTGCCCCCAGGGCTAGCAGCTCCTGGCCATCGTTCCCCTGGCCTTCAGCCTGCACTATCCCTCCTGCACTGCTGTTTGTCCCTTCTTCCTGCCCCAGCCAACATCAAGCTCCTCCCTCCTTTGCATCCCTCCTTCAATGCCCTGCAGATGGACTTCAGTCCATCATCCTGTCAAGACCCCCTCACCTCCCGGCTCCCCCAGATTCAGTCAGTATCTCATGCACATGCTTACACACACACGTACACACACACACACACACACACACACACACACACACTCTGCTTCATACCTCAGAGTGTACTTCCCTTCCTGTCACTGAACTCTTAGTGACTGTCTAGGTTGTTCTGTCCCTTCTAGGTTGAGAACTGGGAAGGTGACCATGGCTTGATGGTGAGTGTCTGGGGAGTCAGGGTGTCAGTGCTGGACCATGCTGGAGACTCTCGCTCTGGGCACTTTGCTGCACCCACATGTTGCACTCTACTCTTTCCTTAGAAACCCAAGGACTTTGACTTCACCCAGCAAAAGCTGACCGACAAGAACCTGGGCTTCCAGATGCTGCAGAAGATGGGCTGGAAGGAAGGCCACGGCCTGGGCTCCTGTGGGAAGGGCATCAGGGAGCCCGTTGGCATGTATGCATCAGGCACTTAGGGCTGGGGAGGGAGGTGAGGTGTTGTGCCTGTGCCTAGAAGAGGCTTCCTTTGGAATTCCGGTCCTAAGTCCTTCACCTGCAGCCGAATTCTTGGTTCCCCTCATGGTGAACATGGTTTAAAGTTGGCAGTTTTTTGGTGTGTGTGTGGGTGGGTGGGGAGGTTGTTTTATTTTTTGTTTTTAGTGAAGGGAGTCTTCAGATGAGATGAGAAGCAGACATTTCCATAGGCAATTGTTCACCCTGCTCCTGGCTGTGCTTATGCAGACTTTTTAAATGGCTTCTTGGCCCCTGGCATTTTGGCCACATTGTAGTAGAAGCTGAGCGGTGGTTCCAGGTAGTCACACCGAGAAGCACATTTCCTTTTCTGGAAACCCATGTGCAGCCCTGCCAGGGGCAACCCTATTAATTGGTTAAGTCCATTAACATCCAGCAGGCATTTATTTCATTGATAACTAAGATTAGCACCTGTGGGGGGACGGGCTTTCTGCCCTAATCCAGGCTCCTGAGCACCTGCCAGGTGAGTGCCCTCTTCCTGTGGGGATCCCATCTGCACTTTCCCTCTCCTTTGCCACCACATACTTCTGTCCATTCTGATTGCACAAGCCATTTCCAGTCTCTTGGTGGCCAGGTCTGGGTGCAGGTGTGGCTAACTCTCCGTTTTGCTCCTTAGGGGTACGGCCTCCGAAGGGGAGGGGTTGGGCGCCGAAGGGCAGGAGCACAAGGAAGACACGTTTGACGTCTTCCGTCAGAGGATGATGCAGATGTACAGACACAAACGGGCCAACAAATAGGTATGTGCATGAGCTGGAACGTTGGGCGTCCTGCCTAAGCTTGCATTTTGATATGCAGCGACGGTTCCTCCACAAAAGTTGGTGTTCCCCACACTCCAAACCAGACCTCAAAATACAAAAAAAAAAAATCTTTGAGGGAAACAAAAGGAGTCTTTGGATGCGGATGTTGTCCCCCCTCTCACCTTCCAGGTTTGGCTGAAGGAGTGAGTGCCACACTGGCCAAGCACAGCTGCACGTGGCCTGCTTGCGGGGCCTCAGTTCAGGACTCCCAGGCTGCCACAGTGTAAGGGTGACCTGGAAGCTGGCCGCAGAGGACCGTTTCCCTCTCTGAGGGCCTTCAAATCCTTTTCCTTCTGCAGGGCCTTGGCCCTATGAATATCCTCATCTTTCTCCTCTCTTTTTAGTTTCCCTCCCCACCCATAATATCCAACTCAGTTTTGAACAAAATTGTTCTCTCCTTAAATAGATGAAAACCATTGGTGAGAAAGATAAGCCTTGAAGCAACAATTATTCTAAAAACGCCACCTCTGCCCCGGATCCACCCTGGAGCCAGAGCCCAAGTCAGTTCGGTGTGTACATGAAAAACAAATGTCTCTGCAGTTTCTGGTGCAGAGATTCTGCTGGCTTTTCGTTTTCTTAAAGAAAAAAGAATGCACCACTTCCAATCTGCTTCTGCCTTTCCTCTTCTTCCAACTGCTTTGGGCAGCAAGTCCTCTCCGAGTCTTTCCTGGTTCCCACAGAAGGTGGTGCTGCCCTGGCACGTTGCTCTCCAGAAGTGTTCTGTTAGCAAACTTGATGCTGAAATGATTACCAATTGTGTCTTCTTATTGTTTCCAGAATTTAAACGGGATCTAATCTGTACTCTGGCACCAAAGCCTGTCGGTGGAGCGCTGACGCTCTGAACAAGTGGAGATACTTGATTCCATGAATCTGTTATTTATGGAGTCTCATCTCTTAAATGCATCCCAAGAGACTTAACAAAATTTAGCAACGGTATAATACAGCTGGATTCAGTGGGGAGTAGGCACCTCACTGATGAAACTTTCCCCAAATTTTTAATTCTCTTTAGAATCCACAAAGAAAGCTACAGTTTGTGTTTTCTTTTTAAACCACATTTGAAGTTGCCTACAAAGCGGGGGGGATAAACTCTTCCAGACTCTTCATTTTTTGCACGTGTGGCAGTGGAAATAATTGTTTTGTTAGGGCCCTTTTACAGAACAGGGAGGGTCCTCTTGGGGTGGGCTCCAAAGCTGTTTGCTCTTTCGAGGTGTACGATTGCCACCCCTTCCAGCTTCTCCCTGTGCTTTGCAACCACATGTTAAATTCTCAGGCTGTGGTCATCTCAACCCTTCTTCCTAAAACAGCAGTGTTGAAGTTTTACATATGTGCTAAAATCTAGATAACGTGGTTGTTCTCATAGTACATGCTTGAGGAACACAGCAGTGAGTCACCTTGTGTTGGCTGTCAAGAAATCCTTGCATTCTCAGAGCACAGACCTCCCAGTTATAGTCCTGCTTCTCTGGTTCTGTCTTATCTATGTCTGTCCTGCCGCTCACCATGGCATCTCGCCTGCCTGGTGCCCTCTCTCTACATGTCAGGTATAGCCCCCAGATCTCTGCCTGCTTCTGATCACTTCTATTGCTTTGCCATCCAGCACATCTTTATGGCCATGGCAGTGCTGGCGGTCCTTCAGCAGAGGTGAACCAGCTGGCAAGGGTGGTGGGAGAAGCACACCTGTGGAAGTTCATCTTCTACTCCTCTCTTTCCTGTCCTTTCATCAGCCTTCCATGTTGGCTGTGGGTTGGGCCACAAGATGGAACTCTGAGAACAGGGCCTTGGTCACCCATGGTACCTGTTGGTCACACAGTACCTGTTGGCCTGAGAGACGTGCATCCCCAGCACATTTCTCTCCCTCTCTGAGCATAGCTCTGAATGTCATATTCGCTCTGTCCTAGTGTGTTCATTCTTGGCTTTCTCCACTTTTATTCACAAGTGAAATGCTTTAGGAATTCCCAGGATGTGAGCCTTGTCCCCACAACCTCCTGCCACTCCTCCTCCTGGGGACATCCCACTTTGAGTTCACACTGTTTGTGAACCTTTGGCAAGTATTAAAGGAAACACCTACTTCTTGAGCCTGCAAAGTCTTCTGAGCACTTAAGTGACGTTTCTTCTGTGGAGTCAACATTGAGGCGTTGCAGGTGCCAGGGTGGAGCATGGTGGAGTGTCCTCTGCCAGCTGCTGGCCGGGGACCAGTGCGTGCTGGTCCTCTGCGCAATCTTGCTCTCTCAGCAAAGGATGCTCTGCAGGGAACTTGTGAGTGTGTGTGCGGGTGTGTGGCCTTGTCAAAGTCACAGCGTCTTTTCTGTCATTCTAGTTCCAGGGTCTCTCCCGTGAGGACAACAGGCATCCGGAAAGTGCTAACTCGCCACTTTGGGTGCTTACTGTCTCTGGCTTGTTTCCATCACTGGAAATCAAATAGAGAATTTTAGTGTTTTTGGTCCTTGGTAAAACCTAGAAGACGTTTGTGATGTCACAAAATGGAAGTTTTGTTTTTGTTTTTAATCTAAGAAGTTGTGAATGTTAATCACTTAGCAGTTGCAATAAATGTAGAGGAACCCGATCTTCCATGGTCTCCATTGATGTATTTATAAATCAGGCCTTGGGGTACATGGTAGATGTGGTGCCTGCATGGAACCAGATCATAAACACCCTGCCTCAGGGCATGTCCGCTGCCTGCCAGGGTGGGAGCCTGGTCAGTAACTGGGAAAGCCCAGAAGGTGCTGAGACGAGGGCAGGTAGTGATCAGGACCCAGTACACCGGGGAGCAGGCAGGCTCTCTTAGGGGAGAGGGGGGTGCTAGGAATAGAAACCTACCTTTGAGAGGGTGTCGTGACTTGGGAGCCCTATCTTAGAAGCCCATGACTGCCCACCCCGCACCCCCCTACCTCCCCCATCCCCGCAAGGCCTTGCTGACTCCCAGGGTTGGGGTTCCAGCTGCCAGAGATAGACCAAGGTGCAGCTAGACCTCCCTCTGACCAAGAAGCCAACCTGTGGGTGTCTTCAAAGCTCCATGCTGTTCCTATGTGCTGTCAGCCTGTGTCTGATTCCTCTACCAGCTACCCCTGGCCCTTCAGGTTGGGGGGGAGAGCAAAGATCACAGCAGGTGGATGAACATATGGGCCTGCAGGGGCTTCCACCTGAGCATGGCACAGGCAGGAGTCAGGCTTCGGACGTACTCAGGGCACCAGGGAAGTGGGGAATGGTTGGGGAGGGGATCTGTCAGCAAATTAAAGGGGGACAGATGAGACAAGCCTCCTTAGGAAGCTGATATGGAACCCCTGAGTCTTCCTTCTTCCCACTGTGTCTTGGAGGACACTCAGGAGAGGTGAGGGCCCATTGGACAATGATGGGAGCTGCTGTCAGCCCAGAACCTCCCAGACATTTGCCTTCATCTTCATCAGAGCTTGGGAGGTGAGTGTGTGATATGGCCTTAGCGCCATGCCCTGAGAAAGTCACCCAAAACCTACAACCCCCACCCACTCTGGGAAGACTGGAGGTGGGGGATGAGCAGCAATCGGAATTGCTCTCCAGTAGCCCCGCCAGCTCCCTTTTCACCAGCAGACTGGTGGTGACTTAGACAAGGACATATGGTATGGGGGTCTCCAGCCTGGGACAGGGCCCGGGTTTTGACCTCAGGCTGGTCATTCCACCTCAGGCCTCAGTTTCCCCTCTGCCATCTGGGAAGGATTTCTTTCAGTTCAGAAGGTAACATTTCCTCTGCTTCCTTGTAATTTAGGGCTAACTGGGACCTAAATGTGCCACTCCTCTCCCTTCTCCCAGCTTCCCCTCCAGGAAGCCTCCTGAGTGCCCCAGGGCACCGTGAGAAGCGGAGCGTGCTGCTGGAGAGGCTCTAATACTTAGTTTTGTTTGGGGGTTGGTTTTTTTTTTCCGTTTTCACATTTTTATTGGGGGCCATAGGGGAGGGGGCCTGTCAGTGGAGGTGCTCACAGTCACTCCAACTTGGACCCTAGGGGTCCTGGGGATGTCGGGCATGTTTCCATCATCTCCAACTAGCACTGGGTAGTTGTAGGGTTTAACCTGGTTGATCATGGCCTCGTGCTTGGTATAAGGGTTGAAGGGGGCAGAATAATAGCAAGGCCTCCAGTGGTGAAGAACTCAACCAGCACCGGCTCCTTGGCCCAGGCGTTCCTGAGGAAGGCAGCAAGTCTCCCGGCCATCTTGGTCTTGGTGGCCTCCAATCTTCAGTTTTTAAAGCAGGCCTTTGCCCTGGCCAGGTAGCTCAGTTGGTTAGAGCGTCCTGATACGTCAAGGTTGGAGGTTTAATCCCATGTCAGGGCACTTACAAGAATCAATGAGCCCTAGCCAGTTTGGCTCAGTGGGAAGAGCATTGGCCTGCAGACTGAAGGGCCCCAGGTTCAATTCCGGTCAAGGGCACATGCCTGGGTTGCGGGCTCAATTCCCAGTGTGGGGCATGCCGGAGGCAGCCAATAAATGATTCTCTCATCATTGATGTTTCTATCTCTTTCTCCTTCTTCCTTCCTCTCTGAAATCAATAAAAATATATTTTTTAAAAAAGGATCAATGAGACATCTGTAATACTGTCAACAATAAAAATTTTTTAAATTACATATGTAATCTATAATAATAAAAGCATAATATGCTAATTAGAACAACCTTCCTGATGAAACCGGGGCTGCGATGGCCAGGGCAGCTGCTGCGGCTTCGAGGGCTGAGCCCCTTGCATGAATTTCATGCATCAGGCCTCTAGTTAGAAATAAACATTTTAAAAATAAAAAACAGAACCAATGAATGCATGGATAGATGGAGTAACAAACTGATGTTTCTCTCTATATAATCAATAAAGAAAAAGCAGGTGTCTTTGCATGTATGTGTGCATGTGTGCATGCATGTGTGATGCATGCATGCATAATATGTGCAAACACACATGATCAAGTACCTTTTTTTTTTTGGTAAAAGCTAAAAAAAACCCTCAGCCCTAGCCAGGTAGCTCAGTCGGTGGGTAGCTCATCCCTATGCACCATAGTTGCGAGCTCTATGCCTGATCAGGGCACATGGAAGAGTCAACCAGTAAGTACATGGATGGGTGGAACAATAGGTTGATGTTTCTCTCTCTCCCTTCCCCTCTCTAAAAATCAATAAATTTTTTAAAAAGAAAAAACACCCAGATACATGCAGAATGAAACAGGTTTCCCCTCCTTCCCATTCTCACATATCAAGAGAATTAAATAGAAAAATTGTTTAAATAATGACACATCATGCATGCTGCCTAGAGATTCGCTTCCTCACATGACTGGAGGTCTCAGCAGTGCTTCCATGTGAGTAAATGTTCTAGTGCTATTTGTGCATAAATAACTCTGGCCAAAATCCAAAGGTACAGATATGTCTTCTGTTTACCCGGCCTGTAGCACCCAGGTCTCAGGTCCCTACATGTAGATTATCAGCAGGCACATTTCAGATATGACCTTAAAGATGCAAACTGCACTGCACATGCTACTCTGTTGCTTTTTTTTACTTAAAAATTTTCCCCCAAAAATTTGTTTTGCCATGGACTGTCCTTTAACAAATGTTCTAAAGGATTGGTCCCTATACCCTACAACACTGTAAGTAAAGCTCTAGAAATGTCATTTCTGGGGCCAAAGGGCTCTCCCTCCACAGCATGCCTGTGCAGTCCAACTTGGGAGCAGGGGGTAGGGGATTGACCCTGTCAAAGCTCCTGTTTTTCCCAACTGTGCCTGCCTGGGACATGATGGGAGCCATAGACCCTGAGAAGCACTCTACCACAACCACGGCCATGGTGGAATTTTCACTCTTAACCTCACACATTTCTGTGTGGTTTGACATCTTTGCTTCTATGATTTTAGAATGACAAAATATTGTGGATGATAAACTCAGCCTTGGGTTTGCTTTCAGAATCAACGGAGATGAGAGGTATCAACTTCAGAGCCCATAGCACAGACTATAAATTGACATCTTCTGATAGTCAGTGGCCTCTCTGTACATTAATCCTTGAATCCAGCAGAAGCCGGCCCATTTCCCAGTGGAGAAACTGAGGCCCAAGCCAGTCTGACTCCACACCTGTACTCTCAAGGATCTCCCATTGGTCTCATCTGGTTTTGAAGCGCATGCATGCAGCCCATGCTTGTGTACATACAGTTATGCATGCACATACACAAACACATATGCACAGGCTCAAAGACATACAGATATGAATACACAAACTTGTATAGACACATGCAGACACAAAGATTCGTGTGTGCACATGTATGCTCAAGGATATGCACACAGAGACACCTACGTGTGTGCACGCGCATACATCCATGCACATGCACATGCACATACTCAAAGATACATGTGTGCACATGTAGGCTCGAAGACACGTGCACACAGACATGCACACACAGATGTGCACACATGCACCTGCAGGCTCAAAGACACAGGCACACATGTAGACATGCATGCACATGCACACACGTCATTCCTATTTCCCACTAACCCCATGCTCATAGCCCTGGGAACTGACTCTCAAGAATTGTGGCTCAGGTTGAAACGGCCCCGGTGAGGTTGAAACGGCCCCTGTGAGGTCGAAACGGCCCTGGTGAGGTTGAAAAGGCCCCTGTGAGGCTGGGACGGCCCCGGTGAGTTCAAAATGGCCCCAGTGAGGTCGAAACGACCCCGGTGAGGTTGAAACGGCCCAGGCCCCTGTGAGGCTGGGACAGCCCCGGTGAGGTCGAAACGGCCCCAGTGAGGTCGAAACAGCCCCAGTGAGGTCGAAACGGCCCCTGAGAGGTCGAAATGGCCCTGGTGAGGTTGAAAAGGCCCCGGTGAGGTTGAGATGGCCCCTGTGAGGCTGCAACGGCCCCTGGGAAGCCAAGAAAAATACCATATGATCTCACTCATTTATGGATAATAAAGACCATTATAAACTGATGAACAAATATAGATACAAAGGCAGAGTAGCATTGAACAGACTGTCAGACTACAATGGGAAGCCTGGGGAGGGTTGGGGGAGGGTAAGAGATCAACTGAAGGACTTGTATGCATGCATATAAGAATA